CTCGGCGGCGCCAAAACACGGGGATACGGCACGGAATGGCAAAATCGGGGCCGCTCCTCGCCCCCGGCGCCCCGCTCGGCTCAGCCCAGCTGCCGACTCATCCCTGCCGTGGAAGCGTCGAAGGAAAAGTTTCCCCGTCAGCACAAAACGCCGACACTTGGCCGAAGCTTCCCCTTGGCTGCTGCTGCCCTGGCCAGGAGTTCCCCCCGCTGGGGACACGCCAGGGCCTGGCCCCGGGTGGCCGCAGTGGGCGGGGGTGGCAGGGGATAGGCCTGGTCCTTGCAGTGTGGCACTGGTGTGGCCCGGTCCCCACACTGTGGCACTGGCGTGGCACTGGTGTGGCACTGGTGTGGCCCCAGGGGCTGCCACAGCCCCTGTGCTGCAGGGAAGGGAGGAATTCCTGAAGCCAGGAGCGCTCCCATTGGCACTGGGCAATGGATGATCGATCCCATGATGATCAATCCCACAATGGATGATCGATCCCATGATGATCAATCCCACAATGGACGATCGATCCCATGATGATCAATCCCACAATGGACGATCGATCCCATGATGATCAATCCCACAATGGACGATCGATCCCATTTGCTCTGAAGCTGCAGGATTTGGGCAGAGGGCTCCTGGTGTCACAGCTGTGTGTCCCCTCCCCAGCCTGCACCCTCCTGGTCCGTATTTAGGTCCCCATGTAGGACTTGATGCCACGATCCAGAAATCCCAGGATTTTCAGCCCAGGAGCACCCCACCAGGGTCCCCATGTCCCTCACCACCAGCCTGGGCCACAGCGGCCTGGTCACCCCCAGCCCCAAAAGGGAATCCCACAACCCCAATCCCTGATTCCAGGGGCCTCGCTGTGCATCAGCTTCCCACGTTCAAATCTGAGACCCCTCCCAGAAGCTCACAAACGCAGGAAGACTCTGAACTCAGCTCTTACTCACAGAGAGCTCTCCCAGGATTTAAGGTGCTTAATTAGCGGTTTAAAAGAGTCACCAGCTGGGTGGGTGACACCCCAGTGGGTGTCATGCACTCCACAGGGCTCCAGCTTCCCTCCTGTCCCTACCCAGGCTTACCTCGTGTGTTTTTTCCCTTTTCCTAATGATCCAGCAGAGGGGCAGGGTCCATAGAAACTCTATTATCCCCGTGCATTAAAGCCAAAAGCAACTAATTAAAACATCAAAGTCACAGGGTTCATTAGCTCGGCCTCGGTGCTGGTAGGAGGTGACAGGGATTGTGGCTGTCACCCGACTGCTCCCAGGGACCCCAGGGCTGGCCCTGCACCCCAAAACCCATTCCCTGTCCCAGTGTCATTGGGAAAGCCAGTGGTTTCCACTGGAAAATCACTGGGCTGGGCAGGATCCTGTCACCTGCATGTCCCCCAGCTGGTCACCTTTGCCTGCACCAGTGTGGAGAGGAGGGAGGTTGGGGACAGCTCTGCCACCTTTGCCATCAAAGCTGCTTCCCCCAGGAGCATCTCCAGTCCCATCACAACCCATCAGATCCCTATTCCCACCCAGCACAACACGAGGGGGACAGGGATGGGTTCAAATTCCCAGCCCTGCACACCAGATCCCCTCTGGTGTGTGAGAACAGCCATTCCTTACCGGGAATGCTGCAGTGCCCCTGGATCTGGGAGTTCCCAGCAGGCCACAGGACATGGGGGACACCAGGGAAGTGGCACCACTTGTGGCCACTTCCCATTGAAGGGCCTGCATCCATCACCATGGTCACACTGAGCACTGGTCACTTCAACTGCCATGGTCACACTGAGCACTGGTCACCTCCCAAAGGACCCACACGCATTTCCACGGCCACACTGACCATTGGTCACCTCCCAAAGGACCTGCACCCCGTTGCCATGTTCACACTGACCATTGGTCACTTCCCATCCAAGGATCTGCATCCCATCCATCACCACGGCCACACTGACCATTGGTCACTTCCCAAAGGACCGGCATCCCATCACCACGGCCACACTGACCATCGGTCACCTCCCAAAGGACCTGCAACCCATTGCCATGTTCACACTGACCATCGGTCACCTCCCAAAGGACCTGCACCCCGTTGCCATGTTCACACTGACCATCGGTCACCTCCCAAAGGACCCGCACCCATTTCCACGCTCACCCCGCGCCTCCCATGCGGGGCTCGCTGTCCCTGCCCAGCCGCTCCCGGAGCCCAGCGGAATCCCCGGGCTCTCACCGCAGGTTTTCCGCCGGCTCCTTTCCCAGCAGGGCGCAGCCGTGCCCGGCGGGGAGGAGCCGTGGGCGAGGAGGAAGCCAGAGCTGCCAGCCCTTTTCGCCGGGCCCTGCACGGGGAGCAGCAGCAGCAGCAAACGGGCGGCGGCTGCGAGTCCTCCCCACCGCAGGGATTTGGGTCCCCAAATCCCCGCAGGCTGGAACGGGCGCGTGTGGCCACTGCGGGAAAACTCCGCTCGTGGCCTAGCAGGGAGGAGAAACAGGAAAATGGGGGGAAAAAAACCCCAAAACAACACATAACCCGAGAGAGGAGCGGGGAACGCGCGGAGAACGCGCGGCCCCGGCGAGGGGCGGGCGGGGAAGGAGCGGGCTCGTCTCGCAGGGCTTGGGGACAAGGGGAAACTCCAGGCTCAGCTCCACCCCGGCGCTTTCGACTGCTAAACAATAGTGGAGAGGAGCAGCCGTCCCTCCCTGCTCTTACTCATCCTGCCCGAGGATCTGTGCCACCCTTCGGCTGCCCCCGCCCTGCCCGGCCTCTGCCCGGGGGCTCGGGCACGGCGGCTCCCAGCTCCGGAGGCTCCCGCAAGGCTCGGGTGACAGCGACAGATTTCCCCCGGGAAGAGATGCGGACCCACGGCACGCGAGCGGCGAGCCGGCAGCGCAGGGAATTCCCTCCGTCATCATCGCCAGCGGAAAAAAAAAAAAAAAAAAAAAAGAAAAAAAAAAAAGAAAAGAAACCAACACCCAACAACAGCCTGCGCCCTCTCAAACCTCTCTACCTGCAGCGCTCGCAGCACTTCCCAGCGCTTTTCCAGGCGGGAAGGAAGCGGGGAAGGAGCCGGGGCTCGGGCGGGGAGCGGCAGCCGCGGCCCCGCCGGCGGCCAGGGCGGGACCGGGCCGGAGCCCGCGGGGAATGCGCGGTGCCAGGGCAGGAATGGGGAAGCGCTGCCTCCTGCCCTGGGCGCTTCCCAGCTCCACCTGCCCCATCCCGGCACCTTGCCCGTGCCACGGCCATCCACGCACCCGAGGCGATCCAGCCCGGCCCCAGGGAGTCACAGGGAGCGATTTGGCCTCCAAGCCCACCCAGCGCCCATCGCTGAGGAAGGGTCCTGCACCCCTCAGATCCGAGGGGCACCTGCAGCCCCCCTGAGCCGCCAGGCAGCCCGTGGGGAGGGTTCCGGGGGGGTCACCTGAGCGGGCAGCCGGGGAGGGAAGCCCAGGGCTGGGGAGGGATCCCCGGGGCGCGGCGGGGTGGGGCTGGCGGAGCGCGGGGGCGTCAGCCTCTCTCGCTCATGATTTAATAATTTAGGTGCGTTTCAGTGCTCAGAGAAGCGAAAGATTGAGGGCAGTGTCTGGAGCCAGGCAGGGCGCAGGCAGCGGTGCAGCCCCTGCCTTGCCCACGCAGCCCCGGGCGGGTTTGGGGTGGGGGGCTCAGCTCGGGGTCCCCCCGGCCCCAGGATGGCTCTGGGTGCTCCATGGCGAGCTCCGAGCACTCACCTCCACCCCAGGTCGCTGCCCTCTGCTCCTGCCCGTCCACCCACGTCCAGGGCTGCCGGTCCACGGCCACGGGCAGAAACTGGCTGCACTGGTTTGAGCTTCGCAATGCAAACCCCCACCCAAGCTCAGGTCTCCAGAGATAAGAGCACAATAACCTATTGTCCCTCCTCCCCTCCCAACATCTCCACTCGCCTCTGGCGAAGCAGGGAGGGACCACCCAGCTCCGCACAGCCCCCCCGCCCCCGCCGCCGGGCAGCCCACGGGGGGCACGGACCCACCGAGCCAGGCCAGGGATGCTGGGAGGCTCCGGAGCCGGGGCTGGGATGCAGGGAGAGCGCTGAGGGCAGAGGCAGGAGGAGGCGGACGAGGCCAGAGCCTGGCGGGGCTTCCAATAGATTTCCTGATTTATTTTTTAATTTATTTTCCGCCTCCCCACTCCTGTTTTCTCTGAGAGCCGTGGCTCTCCCCAGCTGGATTGGTGCAGGCAGGAGGGGGACGTGCCCAGCCGTGGCGTGGGCAACCCCCACGCACCTCCCCACCGCATCCCACCCTTCCCACCGCCCCCCACCCGAGTCACCCCACTCCAGGCAGGGAGCAGCCCCCCTTTTCTGCCCCACAGGTGGGGAAAAACCACCCCAAACCCACCCACGCAGCACCTTCCCCGCTCTGTCCTTGGGCTGCCGCAAGCCCCCCTCCCCTTCCCCCGCCTCTTCCTTCCTCCATCATCCTCATCCTCCTCCTCCCCGCAATGCCACAACTCGCTGCCTCCCAAAAAATCCAGCAACACGCGCGACCGGGAACCCCCGCGCCCCCCGCCAGCCGCCTCAAGGGCGGGCAACAAGTTGTAGGATCCGACCGGAGCGTCCTCCCCCACCCCAAATACCGGGGGGCTGCCGGGCTTGCCCCCCACAAGATGTTTGGGGGCTGCACGCCCCGCAGCCGCCCACGCCCCAGAGCGGCCGGACCGCGGTCACCCCACCACCCCACCTCTCCCACGTGGGGTTGGGGTCGGGGGGCTCCCACACCGAGCCCCCCCGTGATGTAGGACCCCACGCCGAGTCCCCCCCATCCCACCTGCTGCACTGGGACGGAGCGGGGCGGTGAAATCCCCACTGCCCGCGCCCCACCCGCCCGGCACAGCGGGGACAGCGATGCTCCCACCCACCCGCGCCCCCCGCTCCTACAAAGAACCCACTCCGCGTCCCCTCCGCGCCACTCCCGTGCGTCCCCGCAGTGTCCCCAACACCTCCAACCCCCCCTGGGGACCCCCGTACCCCGCTCGCTGGCGGGGTCCCCTCGCGCACTCACCGGCTCCGGTCCCACGGCGCCCGGCTGGCGGCGGAGCCCCCGCGACTGGCCATGGGATGGAGGGGGAGCGGTCCCGGAGCTAACGGGAGAAAATGCTTGTCATGGCAACCCCCGTGCCGTGCGGGGCCGTGCGGGGCCGGGCCGGCGAGGGAGGGGACGGCGGACAGGGAGGGGGAGGGCTCGTCCCAGCCCGCCGGGGGAGGGGCTCCCTTAAGGTGGCTGCACGCCCCGACGGCTGCTTAAGGGGGACGGGGAAAGGAACGGGGTGAAGGGCACGGCCAGGGGGGACAGCGGGGTGGGGGGGACCCCAAACTGGGGCAGGAGCCCATGGGCAGAGTGGGGGGTGCACGCCTGGAAAGGGTGGGGACAGCCCTGGGCAATGTGGGGACACCTCCAGGAAATATGGGGATCCCCAGGCAGGGTGGGGACACCCCCGGGAAGAATGGGGACACCCCTGGGAAAATGGGGATCCCCAGGCAGGGTGAGGACACCCCTGGGAAAATGGGGATCCCCAGGCAGGGTGGGGACACCTCCGAGAAGAATGGGAACACCCCCAGGCAATATGGGGACTCCCAGGCAGGGTGGGGACACCTCCGGGAATAGTGGGGACACTCCCAGGCAATATGGGGACAACCAGGCAGGATGGGGACACCTCCGAGAAGAATGGGGACACCCCTAGGCAATATGGGGATCCCCATACAGGGTGGGGACACACTGGACAAGCCAGTGGGTGCACCCCCAGAAAGGATAAGGACACCCCCAGGCAATTTGGGGACCCCCTGGGAAGAGTGGGGGGGATGCACCCCCAGAAAGTTTAGGGACCCCCCAGGACAAGAGAACATTTGCACCCCAAACAGTGGGAGGACCCCACGGGCAGAGCAGGGGGTGCGACCCCAAATAATGTGGGGACCCCACGGGCAGTGTGGGGACCCCAAAAAGCAAGGGCACCCTCATGTCCAACCCTCTCCCCACTCCAGGTGTGGAGGAGGCAGAAGGAACTCTGTGACCTGGGGCAAAATTGGGGTTCTTTGTGGGGTTTTAGCGGTTTTGGTGTTGATCCCCTGGTCTGACCCACCCTGTCCCCTCATGGGCCACCATCACCCTGAGAGCCACCAGGGTCCAGCATGACCAACCCCCCCTACCCCAGATCCCACCCTCACCCCTTTTTTTAAAGGAACCCGGATAAAATCCCTCATGGAATCCTTCCCAAAGCAGGAAAAAGCTCTGGCCCTGCTGCCCACAGGCGGCGGCCCCGGGCCCAGCAGGGCAGGGAGGGGGCGCCTTCAATAATCCCCTCCCGAGGCCCAGTTTGGGCTCCAGCACTTCCAGTTAAACCAGTGGAACGGCCACAACCCCTCATTAGCCCCTCATTAACCCCTCATTAGCGCACTCAAGAGTTTTTTTTCCCCTTGGGGGCCTGCACCTCCATAATTCCACATCCCGAGGCCTCCAGGCCCTGAGGTGCTGCACAGGCCGGAGCTGGGCCTGCATGTGGAGCCCAAGCCTGGGAATTAATTTCCATAACATTTTCCATCAAAATCCTTCCCTCACTTGACCGGGATGGACCTTCCTGCTCAGCTGAGCTGATCCAGGGGTTGTTTTGGAGCAGGGAATGTTGTTTGGAGTCATCTAAATTACATTAGAGCTGCCCATGTTGGATTTAATTCCATCTCTGCATCCTTCCAAGCTTTGGGAAGAGGAAAATGCCCTGGGCTTGAAATTCCTCCTCAATTCCTACTTGGGAGTTCACAGGGTTATTCTTACTGAAAATAAAATAAAATAAAATATTCCTACTGAAAATAAAATATTTCAGGGCTAGGGATTCTCATGACAAGGACAACGAGTCTCAAAAACCAAACTCAGGCCTCTTCCACTGAACCGCTCCACGTTTGCCTGACACAAAAAAAATGGGAATAAACCCAGAGATTTTATTCCTCCACCAAAATCTGCCAGCCCTGACCAGACTGGGTCTCGGTGAGCATGGAACAGCTTGGAAAAGAGGTGTTGGAGCAGCTGGCAGGCACCACTTCCAATGCAAAACTGCTATTGAGACATAATGGCCTTTTCCAACAGGTTCTGGGAGCTTGGAAGGAATCTCTGACCATCTGGATTCTGGCTCCTGGAAGGAAATCAGCCTTCCTGCCTCAGGGAAGCCGTGTGAGCAGGGCAGCTCGGCTATGCTGGGAATTTGCAGCCTCCTCATGTTCCTGGGTTTGGGTTGAAATGGGGGGAAAAGCAGATTTTCCACCCGGGGCAGTGGCTGCGGGAGGGAGCAGCCAAAATTCGTGTGAGAAATGTGATTCCTGTGTGGTGATTCCTGAACAGAACCATGAACAGCCCCAGAGCTTCTTCCAGGCCACGTTTAAAGAGAAGCACATGGAGGAAAAAGGAAAATCCTGGCAGGAGCAGGAGTGTCACCTCCAAGCCAGCACCGAGCTGTCCCCACAAGCTGCAGATGGGAAAAATTCCTTCACAGAATATTTTGGGACCCTCTGTGTGTGTCTCTGCTTCCCTCCTGCTCCACCCCCTTCAGCCACAGGCCACCTGCTCCTCCTGGTGGCTTGGCCACCCCCGGGGTGGTGACAGAGGTGTCCCCACACTGCACCCAGAGCAGGGAGGAGAAGGACACAACCCCAGAGCACGGGGGTAGCACTGGGGACAGGCTGGATTTGGGGTGACAATGGGTACAGGCTGGTTTGACTCTTGTCAGGAGCTCACAGGAGAGCTCTGAGGGAGATTCTGGATCCCACTGGGAATCCCTGCAGGGCCGAGGACCGTGCTGAGCCTTTGTCCTCCTCATCCTCCTCGGGTCACGGCTGAATTGGGGTTTATTCCCTTTTTTTCCATGGTCTGGCCATGGATGCAGGGGCCAAATCCCCTTTCCCGGCTGGGATCCAGCCAGGAGCTCTCTCCTGGGTGCAGGAGGGATTCTTGGGGGGATTCCCAGATGGATTCCTGGGTGAATTCCTGAGTGGATTCCTGGGTGAATTCCTGAGTGAATTCATGGGTGGATTCCCAGGTGGATTCACAGATGGATTCTAGGGTGGATTCCTGGGTGGGTGCCCATATGGATTCCTGAGTAGATTCCTGAATGGATTCCTGGGTGGATTCCCAGGTGAATTCCTGGGTGGATTCCTGGGTAATTTCCTGGGTGGATTCCCAGGTGGATTTCTGAGTGGATTCCTGGATGGATTTCTCTCATTCCTTGCACCCAGCACCTGTTGCAGACTCCTCTGGATCCCCACCACATCCCAAAGGCCTCTCCCTTCCCATTCCCTGGAAAATCAGCCAAACTCCCCCAGTGACCAGCAGCACCCAAGTTCTCCATCAAGGCCCTAAATCCCCATGGGAATCTCGGCTGTTATCCTGATTTTTGCCACCTCTTTCCTTCTCCCAATGCTTTTCTGGCTGCTCTGGAAGCGAAGCAGAGCAGTGGGCAGTGACAGGCCTCAAGAAGACCCAGCATCACCAAGGTAAAAGAAATAACCCCAAAACAGAAAACTTCTCCCCTAAGTTCTTCCCTAAAAATCAAAGAATGAAAAAAGAAAAAAAAAAAAATCTGTCTTCCCTGATGATTTCCCTTTAAACCCAGCCTCTAATATTTGGATTAATTTGCTTTTAATGCCTCCTAGGCTGGGAACTTGTAGGTGGAGTTTTTTAGCCCGAAAAATGAATTAAATCAGCCGAGTTGTATCAGCCAAGTTACAAACCCATCAAAACCTGGGGCCAGATCCTGATCTCATCCCCGGAGGGGGCGGACGGGGTAAATCCAGCGCCGCTGGAATACGCGGGGAAAGATTTTGGTGAAGGATTTTGGAATAGAATTTTGGGAAGGATTTTGGAGAAGGATTTGGGGAAGAATTTTGTCACCGAGCTCCGGATTGGACCCCCCGGGTTTCTCATGGAAACACTGAGTGACTTTGGAGCACAAGGCAGAGTCAGGCGTCTGTGAAATCTCTCTCCATTCAAGGGCTAAATATAGGGAGAGGAGCGGCAGCAGCAGCGCTGTGACTGCTCAGGGATAAATAAACCCCGGAGAGGCTCTGCCGGGAATGCCGCGGGGTCCTGGGGGCACTGCAGGGACCACGGAGCTGGAGATGCTCCCAACGCTGCTGCAAAGGGGATTGAAGGGATTTTTCCTGCTTTTTCTGCCTCTTTTCCCTCTCCCTGCTCATCCCTGAGCTGCAGCACTCAGAGGTGCCTGTTCAAGGCTTGGATTCTTGCCTGGGGTTTGGGATGCCAATGGAAAAGGTCCCATCTCGGTCCCATGGCATCCACACCAATTCCCTGCTCTGCTCCCGGCCTTCCCCTCACTCCAAGGCCTTTGGAGACCCCCCCCCAAAAAAAATTACTGCAGCCACGGAACTGCTAATTACCCATCACCACACTAATGAACCTCTCCTAGCCCATTCCTGCTCCCAATTACTCCAACAGCCCTGTTAATTCCTAATTAAGCAGCTCCTTCATCAGGGAAAAGGACCTTGACAGGAGAAGGGAAAACGCCAGAGGAGGAATTTGGGGATTGGGAGGGATTTTTGCTTTATGGCTGTAATTAGGAGATGAAATTGTTTGCTCACCTACAGAATTCATCACCAAAGTGCCTCGGAGCCTTCCCCTTGCCCATCCCTGCATGTCCACGGTTGGAAGCATGGCAGGATTTAAATTTGTTTAGGGCCCGTTATTAAACCCCCAAAATTTGTGACAGCTCAGGAGGAGCCTCTGGGCTGGATGAGGAGGAATCCCAGGATGCTGGATCCGTGCTTCTCCATGGATCCCCCCATTCCCCTCCCCAGCAACTCCCAGGGAAACAACTCCAGGGAAAACCCCCGAGATCCCGAAATGAACATTTTATCCCTCCAGTTCCGACCTCGTTTCATCAAGGAGGAACCTTGTACTCGGTGTTTGCAGCGCGGTAACAGCTCGGGGACCTTCGTGGGCCCGAGGAAAGTCCCCGCTGCCGGCGGTGACAGCGCGGTGGGCGGTGCTGAAAGGGAGGGGAGCGAAGTGACAGCGAGGGAGAGGGAGAAAAACGCTCTGCCCGTCACTCCCGAGCTGTCAGCCCCGAG